TCAGCAGGAGGGTTGGACTAGATGACCCACAGAGGTCCCTTCCAACCCCTATCATTCTGTGATTCTGTGATTCTGTAATTCAGCTTCCTTTAACCTCCTTGCTTTCACTGTTCCTCTTCACTCTAGTAATGTGATACCAACAAACCAGTGTCTTCCTCTTTCCCAGTCCCCATGTACATTGCCAGGAAGGTATTATCTCACCTTCTGCAATAAGCTCATAGGCCTTTCAAGCCATATCCTGTATTTCTATGGTTATTGCCTATTGCCTTTCCCCTCTTATAGCATGTCTTGTGCCTCAGACTTGGCACTGTCCCTTCCACAAACACCACTGGAAAGAAAATGTCCTTGCTGCACAGAGCACCCTTCCTTTTATATAGATACACGTGAAAAAAAATTACATACTCCTTTTATATATATACATATACACACATACAACGATCTCCATCTTTTCTGTAAAACACACTTCTTCCAGTCCTTATTTAGGAAGTTGTAATAATTCAAAACTCACCTCTTCAAGGAAAGAAGGGGGAATGCTGCATCTATGTCATCCACACTCACACTGCTCTCTTGCCAAATGTCTGCATTCCTTCAAGTGCCTGTACTAAGGTCAACCTCTCATTTTCTTCTACTGCTCCTCTTTTCCTGCCTAGTCTTTTAGCATTGCTTTTCTTGTGCCTTTCTTTCTACCACATACTGTTTTCCTCTGCTGCTTTCCACAGCTGTCATGCTGTTTTCCCAACAGTATATGCTAATCTACTAAAAAGTCTCCTCTCCTCTAAATCACCGTTGGAATTTCTGCCACAGTTCTTGCCTATCTTATTTTATCAGTTCCATTCTCCCACTTTAATTAACTATTGCCCATATGTTCATTAGAAATTTTAGATTTTTTTTTTTAAATTATAAATCTCAAAATCACCTGTTATAATCCACACGGGATTGGTGTAGTTGCTGTTGTTTTAGGAGCAGTTTTGCTTCTTGCTTAGCCAACAGATGTTGAAGTCGTTCCTTTTCAATTTCCAGCTCCATTTTCTGCAGAAGCAGCTTCTGCTTTCTTTCTTCATACAATCTTTTAGCCTGCTCTGTTTCTTTAGGCCCTGAGTTCGCACTGTCATTCAGCCCAGAAACACGAGAGTGCCTAGAATTATCACAGGTTTTGAGAACTCGCCCAGAGTGTGTTCCAAGTACCTGGCTGACACGGTGGCTCTCTTGCACACTCCCTGAGCTCCCTACATGCCTGCAGGCACAACCATGACACCCTTGCTGAGGGCATGTGCTCTGAAATTCATTTGCTTTCTGGTCCATCTCCTGAGCTGGTTTTACATGGTCAGGGCTCTGTTGCTTGGCTGGGGAAACCATATTGTTACACTTTCTGTGCAAGCCATTTTCTACTGGATATTCCTTCAGACACTCCTGATGGTTGTAATGGATTGCAGCCCCATAATTGTGATTATTCCTGCAAGGCTGAGACAATGCAACACAGGCTGGACTTCCAGCCTTTGATGCTCTACTGTTCTTATAAAAAGTTTGAGGTCCTCCAATACCCAAGTAGGAACCATCTAGCTCCAAAGATGGATGTTGGCCTGAGCTCTTCTTGCTGGATACCTGCAATAAGAGAAACAAATTCCTGTAAATTATCAAAGTTTATCTTTGTTCATTAATTTCATTTGGTAAATGTGTTCTCTCAGAAATAGAATTGCTGCATCATGCTGATGGACATACAGCCAAACCCAAGAAAATGTTTATCAGAAGACAGACATGAATCTGCTATCAAATCTACATTTCATCTACACAAGTATAATAAATGTAAAACTACTGCCTGCAGGATCCTCGGCATAAAATGAGTCACTTGAGAGTATCAAGTAGTTGTGAGCATCTAGGGTTACATAAAATCAACTTGAAGAGTGGCAAAAACCACTAAATGTTAATGTTTGAAAATGTTTAATTTTGAATACCGAGCCAAAAAATCCATTCAGCCACTATAAATACTCTTTGATTGGCCATTACACAGCAGGAGATTTGATGTAAAACATTTCACCTTGCACTGAATGGGATATTACTTACCGCTGGAAATTTGATGAGAGTTTTTGAAATATCTTTACAGAAACACAGATAAAAACCAACTACTTTCTGTAAAAAATGGTTGTACATCAGAAGCTGTCATTTAAATACAAAACATGTTTAAATTCAGCTATAAACGTAAGTGATTTTTCAATTAAGCTGGGCAAGTGATTATACTCTGATAAAACTCTGAAGAAAGAAAGCAACTGTAATTCACATTTGTCAAACAGTGCAAGCAAATTCTAGTGGTTTTGTTATGCTCGTGGATATTATGTAACAGTCATCAAAATCCTACTTACATCCTGGAGTATCTTTGCACTACGGTTCATCTAGGCAGTTAAGCATTTGAGATTTAACGCACATCAGAACAGCAGTGAATTTCTTTTGCTAGACCTGTGCATTAATTTCAATAACATACTGAATTTAAACACCTCCAGCCTTCAGGACCTTTCACAAAGATCTAATTTTTTTAATTAGAGAAGCCAGGTTTGTTAAAGATAAAACTACTGCAGTGAAAGTGGATTCGCAGGGAAATTGGGTACCCACTGATGGAAAGAAAAGTATTATTTGCACTCTGGCAATGTTTTTGTCCACGTAGAGTGGGAGACAGTCAGCAAGCCCTGAAACACTAGAACTCAGGAATGCAAGCAAGCATACAGAGATGATTAGAATAGAGATATAAACCAAATCTATGCAGTGTTTATATGTATAATTTAAATTCTTTTTTATAAATAAACAAAATACCAAATATACTCTGCTGCCCTTCAAGACAACCAATTACAAGTTTCTTGTAGACTTGACAGAATGTAAATTAACGTGGATTAGCACCTGAATACTGATACTTTATTATTTCCAGTTTTGTGGATACAAATATATCCTCTCTACCATGTGACTGAAAGCCAAGGATGTCATATTTTGCCCCAAAGGGCCCAGTGAGTTGGAGGCATTTGCATTAATGTCAGTGCTAAATGTCTGAGGAAAGTCTGGTGCTTGGACTGGGTGAAAAGTGCAGGACATTAAAATATTTTAAAGTCAGAGGGGCTGGCAGGGCAACTGCGCAGAAATGCAACATGCTGCCAAAAAGCCCAAAGTTTTGTTATTTATTATTTGTAGTGCGCCATCCTCCTCTGCAATATTTTCTAGACAAATAAAGGCTACAAAGCCCTTTTAGTCTAAATTAGACAACACATAAAGGCATGACCAGCAACAGGAAGAAATATTACAGAAAAGGGAAAGTAAGAGAATGCTGTGGTTACACTCTGTCTCTCGTTTCCCACTTCACCTGCTTCTGCGAATAAAACACGTAGGGCACCAACAGAAGCAGGCTTTCAGGGTGGCCAGTTTCCCAGCCCCCTAGGACAGCAGAAGGTGGAAGACCTGAAGGTATTCTTAGAGGATCCTATCAGAGCTGGCAGTTTAGCATGGTCTACAGAAAGCATACACCTACTCTTTTCCAGCCCATAAACAGAAGCAAAAAGGAACAAAAAAAGAAGAGTCAAAAGATAAAATAACTTCGAATTTCTTTATTTTAGCAGTTTGTTTTATTGACTGAAGAGACAAGAGAATGTTAAGAAATCTAAGCACATGGATGAAGATGGCACAAAATAATCATCAGGAGCAGGTTTAAGAATAAAGGCCCACATTGCAAATTAACTTCATGGCTGAGACTCTATTAAGAGTCCCTGAAGGCCCTAAAAGAGAGGTACCAGTTAGCATTTGTTGACCTTGGCCACCATTAAATCTGCCCTGATGGTCTCAGAAATGGCATTGACATTTAAAGACTTCATAACAAGGCAGAGAAACTTTAATGTTATTTCACAGCTACAATATGTTTGCAGGGGGGAAAATTCTCATTAATGTCATTGAATGCAAGTGGGGCTTTTTTATTCCTTTAGAAGAAGGAGGCTGTGTTAGGCAGAAGACTGAGTTCCAACATGCCTTTGACAGCTGCTCAGTACTTTGCAGGGTCTAACCCCAAAGGAAAAATGACTACCGGGAGTCAGAAGCTAGTCAACAAATTTTTTAGCAATTTGTGTTTTTCTGCTAATGCTTTAATTGAAAACTACAGGGCGATGGTAGAGACTGCAAGGAAAACGGATGGACATTTACACTTATGAGGGATCAGATGAGACCAGAGCATGCCGTGACAGATCTGCAAGATGCTGGCCAGGTGAAGGGGAAAAGCAAAAAAAAAAAAAAAATTCCAAAGAACCACCTACTACCATGAGTCTAAAGACGCACAGCATAAGGAATAATAATTTTACAAGATGAGTTTAAGAAGGATGTTGCCTATGGGACACATGCAAACCATGACGGACCATGATGGAACAGCTGTGCTTTCCCCTCTGTGGAGCTCTTCCAGGCTTGCTGTACGGTATTTAAAGATACAACTTCCTTTAACTGAAGCTTAAACAAACAAACAAACTCAGACTGCTCCTTGCAACATATGGAGTTAATACGACCTGATCAGTTGTGAAACTCATGCATGGAAACAAGGAGATATTAAGAAATAGTTCAAATAATCTTTAGAAAGGTTTAAAGAGGAAGACATGGGGAGCTCTATGAAGTCTTTACTGTAATCCCAGTAATTTTTGCTCAGGGATTCAGAGCAGAGCTTAAATAAACATTCAGTCCTTAAAACTTCCTACAAACAGACAAACAGCACCCCAGTTTTATGCAGACAGCATTATGTTCTCTGCAAATTCTGCTTAAATGAAACTTGTGTGCTCTGCAGTGTTAATTCACAGCACTGGCAGAGGAAAGGCATTTACAGACTGACTCCAACACACAGGGCTTCGTATTGCAAGGCATGAACTAGCAACTGCTCAAATCTCAATGCAGGCAAGGTCTTGACAGATTTCACTGGTAGCTCTGCATGTCCAAAACGCATTCAAGAAAGATCCCAGAATCATCATCTTGAGAAGTCTCGCACTCTGACGACAAAAGGTAGGGTCCTAGAAAAATATAGTGCTGTTACAGCAAACAGCAAAATTCCTACAGATGTTAACAGCATTGGATTTTAACCCATAGCATCTGGGTTGGTAGTTTGTAGCTGGAATATATTTGAATATAGAAAAAGAGACAATGAACTAAACTTGTTCTCAACTGTATGTTGAGGACATTTCTCCAACCTGGATTTCCAGCTCTGGGATGTCCTTCGGTGGGGCAGAAACAGAATGAGGAACATGCAGGTTCAGAACTAGGCCATTGCGCTGATCTGAGCAGCGACCCTGGAGGAAGCCAAGAAGAATGAACAGAAGTAGCAAACAGAAGAGAAATACAGAGATTTAAAGATACTTAGAGATTAAGCAAAAATTTCTAAAGGGTCAAACGAGAAGCTGTCATACACAGGGACACCTTAAAGAGCACCAAGGACATGTATTAGTGACCCAGCTGATGCGCTCACTAAGGTATACACCCTAAACCTGGAATTCGGTCACCACTATGCATTGTTGACATACGGCTCTCATCTGAATAAAGCTTGGCTTTGGGTTTGCAGGTCTATCAACAGTATAAGTGCTTGCTCTTGTCACTGGAATGACGTGAATATATTACAACTAAGCTCCGGTAGGATATTGGGGCCACAGCAATGCCATTTTAAGAATAATTATTTCAAATCATAGGACTATTTGAAGTGCATTACTAGTGATTAAGGAGCTATTCTTTCCAAGAGTCTGTAAGAATTTATCAAGGAGAATGTAAAAAGGTAAAGATTTTAAACTAAATTAGTAGGATCTACTGAAGTTTATCAAATTTTTTTCTTTAAATCATATAATCCTTTATCAAAATCTCTACCATAAGTAACCTAATATCAGTCATTACAAAGTGCTCACACAGTAGTTCAGCGACTGTCTCTGTCAGTACCTAAAATAAATACAGTAGATAACTCGGAAGGAAAGTTGACTATTTTTCAAGCAAGAAATAAAGCACCATTTTCTGTAGTAATTATGTATAGCTATGTCTGCCATACTCCACTGAAAAAAAAAGTGGTCTCAAATCAAAGAAACTACATGAATGACAGTCACAAGCCTGTATTTTTCATCTAAAAAAATCTACTGAACACAATATACTGAACAGGTGTAGCAAAAAAAATAAAAATTATAAAATAGCATCGTATCACCAAAAAAGTGAATCTATAGCTGCTAGCTGACAGCAGAGGAACACCTCCGATGTTTGTGCTGCCTTCGTTTTTTTTTTCTCCTCTTTGTTAAGAGGGTTCGAGCTGGGATGCCAGGTGCACGAAAAACCTGCATTCAAAGTGGCATGCGAGCATTTGCTGGCACTCAGCTTTAAGTGTACATTTTGCATTCATAAACATGCCACCTTTCTTCTCCAGCTACACAAATATTGTAGATAATCTCTAACAAATGCTTCCATTTCAGATCAGCAAACTGGTTTTACGCTGGCTGATAAGGCAGTCATTAATAATACAGTGCTCCAAGAAAACAAAAGTGAGGCGCCTGTACATTGAGTCTTGGAAGTCTCTGTGAGCAGAATGCCCATTAAGCCCAAACAGTACCTACATATGGCAATGCAGTGCCTTG